AAGGTAACATTATTTGGTAACATTTATTATGCGAAATAATGTGTTTACTATGTATTCATTATATAAAGTATTACACATGAAGTAATGTACATAAATAGGCCAGTGTAATGAAACTGTATTTAAGGAATGTGCCAAACTGAACTAAATACTATACCAAAAATTCAAAGTGGGCTCTTGTGAACACAGTAATAAATCTTTGGGTTTCATAAAAGATGCTAATTTCTTGACCAGCTTAGTGACTACTGGTCTCTCAAAGACTGTTTTACTGATTTATTTAGTTATCAAAAATTCAAAGATCACAGAAAAAAAAACCTTAACAAAAACCAAGCAAGAGTAGTTATGTAATGACGTTCCTGTAAATACCTTTGAATTAACTACATAACATTCACCACATAAATTTGGCAGTGGCTTGCATCAATTTTATTCCTCGCTGCCAGACCTAACATCTGCAATGCTACATGCAGTATGCAACAGACGCAGGATAGAATGAACGTGCTGCATTAAATGTTGCAGTCAAGTTGCACCAGTTGTTGTTGCTGCTGTCTCCCTTTGGTCTAGCCTGTCAAATTAAGATGCAGTCTCAAACAAGTCTTGACGTGCTACACACTGTACCACCGATCCTGCCTTAGAGGCAATGAAATGTCATTTTATTCGTCAGGTGTTGATTTGTCCAGAAATAATCCCTGCTCCAGTATATCTTCCTGTACAACAAAAACCTCAAACCAAGTCAGTTAACCTTATTATTTAATGGAAATGATGGACAGCTTAGCCTTTTGGCTGTTTTATCACCAACAAAGACGTACTGATAACTAGTTGATAGACGTCTGTGTGGACCCAACAACTAGTCCTAATGAAGAAAAGAATACCTGGTTCTGACTGGATGGAGCCTGAGTCTTTCAGCCCACAGACAATCACTTTACTGTCTGAGCTATCGTGGCTCATAAGGAACAAGTTACTTTGATCACATCTCAGTTTAGGTTTCCCATATCTGCAGTTAGTAAATATTAATTTCCATTAATGCCATATCACTTACTGTCCATTTCTTAAAGTTAAAATAATAGGGATGCAAGAATGAATTCTTTTTCTCTAATTTTCATGGGTCAAAGAATTTTGAAAAAATAATGCAGTTAAAAGGGAACTATTGTCGACACGTGGTAATAGTCACTTTCACTGGAAGCAGATGATTCACTAAGCAAGAGTTTCTCATGGAGTTTGTCACTCATACAAAAACAAATGAGGAGTCATGACAATCCAGTCCCTTATTCCTTACTGTGATATAATTACTAAGCTCATTTAGTTCCTATGTAGGATTTTAAGTTCTCACAGCAGTAGTTATGAAGAATTCTGTTTTCTGAGATAAAATGCTGTGTAGCCCACTGGAAGAAAGTCAACCAGCATTTTGAAGGAACATGTCACATCCATCTTCACAGCTAAAGAGTAAACAAAGACAGCTTTACTGCCTGCTTCAACAGACTTTCGGCAGATTACACAGCATTATATCCCAGAAGACAGAATTCTCTACTCTGGTCCTCTTCTCAACAACACAGACTTTCCCCACCATATATAAACTGCAACTATGAACATTAGTACAAAAATATTGCTAAAGCACAGCCATGTTTAACTTTTTTTGTCAACTGATGCAGGTAATATCATATGTAATTAAGTTTTACTGCAGTTTCTCAAATACCCCTTGCATTTTTTTACAAAAAAAGCAATAAAAATTGAGGTGCACTGCTTTTTTATGCTGAGGTTGGCAATACTACTTATTTCAAAGACCATTTTAAATTTCACAACTTCCTCTCCATTTTTACACATCAACATATATAGCCACAGCATACAAATATACATTAATCTGTGACGTACTGTGTATATATACCAAAAATATAAGAATGCATTTATGACCCATCAAATGGAATGAAAAACAGAAAGTAATTCAAGAGGCAGAACAAATTACAAATAGTGCTGCTGGTATAAAATATGACCAGTAAAAGTCATATAAGAGACTGGAGTAAGATAACAAGACTTCATGAAGGTCTGTACATGGCTAGAGACAGTCAATAATTTCGTGGACTGTGGTTTTCTGGCACCATATTACAAGATATTCACATATACTTACACATATCCACATATTCTCTCAAAATAGTCACCATTCATCTCCTGCTATGATCCGGTTGAGAAATGTCCCATCTTTGTCAGCACTATCGATCAGGTCACAACAAATGCTCTTATGATCATCACATCGGTCTTGCATCAGGACACATGGAACACTGCGCTGGGTAACACAGGACATGTTCAGGTCATCAGACAGAATTTTGTGGCAAGTACCATGGCTAATCCCTACTGCTGCCGCTGTGATTTCATCTGCTGTTTGGGAACAGTTGGCAGGCACCAATGTTGCAACTTCTTGAATCTTGAGTTCAGTTCTGACCGTTCTTGGCCGACTGGTATGCCCATCATCTTCCAAACTCTCTCTCCCCTGTGCAAAACGTTTGTGCCACTTAAACGCAGCACTTGGCCCAAGGCTTCTTCGTTGTATGCTTGTTTGATCATCTGAAACCTTTCACTAGTAGATTTGCCTAATTTTTGGCAGAATTCTGTGTTTGTCCATTGCTCAAACTGCAACATTCTCTATTTCCACCACTTACAGACAACTACCCTTCACAATTGTGACTTTCTTTCTGAATACACGGTATGCATGCAACTACTTCTTGCTGGGATGAGAGCAGAATGGGCATGGCACCATCTCATAGCTCCACGCATCCACTCTAGTGCATAACAGGGCCAGCAGGCAGCCAATCTATGGAATTATTGACTGTACTACGTATATCCTGATACAACAGAAAAGCTTTGCAAATTCATAAGCAACAGTTCAAGTGTGCACTACCAATCAAAATGTGCCAGATAAAGGCCTTGGCAACTGCAAAAGAACATAGAATTCAAGAGTTTTAGGCAAGATCAGAATGGACAGTATGATTTTTGCATGGAACAATTTGGGAATTAGAAGAAAAATAAGTGTCTTACATCAGTTTCTAGATGCATATGAAGAAAAAGTACTGCTTTTTTTTTTTTTTTCAGAAGTATGCTGTCAATTAGTGGCAGCAGCACTCATACATTTTTTCCCAAATTGGTAATGCTGATCAAATACCACATATTTTGAAACATCCCTCAAAATAACTTTGAATAATAAAGCTGAGAAAAGTATTTAGTATGGACTGAGGGCAACAAGAAACAGCAGTACACTTCAACACAGTGCAGCATGACAGCAGAAAATTGCCACTGCATATTATTATCCTAACATGAAAGGCGATGTAAGAAGTGTGATCATCCGTGGTAAGAATTTAAGGAGAATGGACAATACTTGGATCCTAGAGAGGTTAAACATGTGGCAGTATAATCCAGAAGCTCTTAAATCTCTGTTGCATGCTCATTTTAGACAGTTTCCATGCACATATTACAGAAGTGAAGAAGTCCTCAAAAGCAGAAATATGGTTCAAGTCATCATCCCAGGAAGACTATTATCGACTTTACAATCTATGGTTGACATCTGCCGCGTCACCAAGGGTGGATATATCTAGCACCTGTAAGGTAGGACAGAAACTCGGAGCGTCTCTCACTCTGTTGACAACCCCCTCCATGTCATGACCATCCTGGCTACTGTATCGCAGAGTGCATAAATCCTGGAGGGACTTATGAGTTACCCTATATGCAAGGAATTGAACAGCTTCGCATGTGGATAAAAAATGCATGAGCGTGCATTTTGCCCACACTGAGTGGCAGAAGTGTTAAGAAGCGTGGCATATCTAATGAGCTTAAAAGTGTTAAGTGTTAAAGAATACATTGAAGTGTAAAACAAGTGTTGCAATTTAGACGGATATAGACAAATGGACGCTAATGTGAACAATTGCAAAGGGATGCTGAAATACAGAATCAGTCAGAGTAATAAACAAAGAATGAAAAAACCAAACCAAACCAAACCAAACCAAACCAAACCAAACCAAACCAAACCAAACCAAACCAAACCAAACCAAACTACATGGCATCACATTCTAGAACAAAATCTTGTTCACATAATGTTTGAATATGAGGACACCTTGTATTGTGTACACTTTTACTTTGACATGCATTCACTAATATTTCTATTATTTCACATTAACTTCTTTCTATTTTTTTACTGTTTAAAAAACAAGGTGCATGGTTTATTGCAGAGCATGAGGTATTTGAGAAGACATAGACGGTAACATCTCTAAACCACCTGTTTTAAGTTGATCTGGTTTATTAACAAATCTGACACTCTGTCTACCATGTTTGAAGGAAATATGTCTAATTTGGAACTCACCTGAAGGTATGATAAGAAGGTATAAGTAAACTCTACAGGACACAAAAATTGTGACAAATATGAAAACATACACCACAGAATGGGAACACTGATCACAGAATCTGAATACCATAAATGTGAAAATATACCAGTAAGTAACATACTAATGAATTTCAAGTCTGATGACACTATGAAATGAGACTCCTTGGATTCAGTAAATGTTTAAACATTACTTGTTAGGTCCTGATATATACTTTTACTCAGAAAACTCAATCACAGATATACTGTTCCCTGGAGAGGGTATCATACAGATCTGAGAGATCCAAAGCCTTGTTCATGTTCAGATTAATACACAGAAGTTGTTTAGTTTCAAAACAAATCATCTTTGAATTTTCAAATGAACAAAATACAACAAGTAGAATTATTAAATCCATTATATGTTGCTTTTATCATTATCATCATCATCCTGTATCGTACTGCATTGTAACAATTCATGAAACTTTTGAATGCCTATATAAGCGTTACATTTACATATTTGTTAGAACCAGAAAAAGGAAGGAATACTGAAACACTGAATGCACCCACACTCAAAATGGAAGCAGCTTTGTTTATCCTAATAACAAAATAGGCAGTTAAATGGCTAGTTATTTGCTTTCCTTTCTTTAAAAATAAACTGAAAGCAGGAAAAGTGTGTTTCTTATTTATTACTCGAGATGACTGCAGCCATTCAAAAAATCATGATGCAACAATTCAATCAACTGCATCACTAGGAACTAGATAAACTCCTGTTTTTTATAGCTACATGCATGGCTGCCAACTTCCAAAAACAATTAAAATAAAAAATCACATAAATGAAATGCCAATCCTTATCAACAGCAAGCAAGACACATCTTTGCATATCATCTAGAATTTAGGATTTACAGAATACAGCAGCAATTCACAACCAGCTAGTCCAGAGGAAGCTTTATAATAATACTACCAGCAGGCAGTTCTGAAGTTAGAACAGTGCTCTGTCTTGTAATATACAATTCTTAGCACATAATAGAATTTATCAGGGAGAAATTCTTAGATCACTGATATACATGGATAGTTATGACTTTTGTTTCTGTATCTAAAACTTTTATAGTTATTTTGCAGATTGTGTTCTTCTGCTGGTGAAAACACTGGTAATAAAAGCCAAACTTGGGATGCCATATCATGGCATCTGCCCAAGAACAATAAAGATGTGACTTGCTAAAACAAATTAAAATGGCTGACAATTATACGACTCCTTTGGCCATACCATTTGCACTATGGAATGCTGACCTCATAACATGTGAATAACTGGTGACCCAGAGTCTTATGAGAAATACTGAATGTTAGGAGCTCCAAAAAATCGGGAAAAATAAAGACCTGCGGTTTGTGTGAGAACATACCCTACATCATAAATGTCACATATGTTCTTGATTCTAGGAATAAGTTTGTAATTTCTTCTTCTGTACACATTTCCACGCTTGTAAATACCGAAAAGTACAACACCTATCTCCTTATTGTAGCAGAATTGTTAAGTAAAATTTACTAGTAAAAACAGTGGAACTGGTCCACTTCAGGGCAGACACCCCACAAAAAAAAAACCTGATAAATGTTCAAAATGGGGGGGGGAGTTCCACTGGTTGTGTTGCACCATGCTTCTCTGATGACAATTGCAGTCTCAAACCAACATTTGTACACTATGTCACTAATTCAATCCACTAAAAATCAGGGGCACTTGGAATAGAACAATAAGTATGGTGTTAGGGCAGAATTTTTTGAAGGTTTTGGAGCCAGAACATCTTCAAATTCTTTCCTCGTTAACAGTCGAACGGTTTCATCATCACATTCCAGCCAGACAGGTTCTGGTACTGAAGTATCGACAACAGCCACAGACACACCGACATCCAAACCGTTCATCTGAGATTTCTGCATGATGGAATCTGCACTGTTCATGAGAGAACGATTCAACCTAATGCCGCAGCAATCCATACTCCTACACGTGTGCCTGTAATATACACCATTTCCTGTGCCATGGTGCTGCTTGCTTGAACTATCTGAGTTACTGCTGTTTGAGGACCGGGGCCTAAAAAACTTGAAGATGCTTCCCATCTTGTCTCCTGAGGAGCTGCTCCCACTCTTGCCCCCGCTGCTGGCACTGCTTAGACTTGATGCCTTTCTCTTATCTCGATCACAATGGTAATAGTCACATACATTTTCTGAGGCTTTCACATATGCGACATAATGACCTGAAGCAATGGTGGCACCCAGGTGCATTATTACGCCGAACAGCTCGTAATGATGAGGACGCTGATCTTCTGGAATGGGGCAGCATTGCTCACAGAAACAGGCAAGAGTGAGAGGTGTTGGCATGTAGTCATTGACTTTTGACATGCAAACCATAGACCTGAAAACCAACATAGGCAAGTGAAACAACTGGCCTGCAACATCTGTAATAATAAAAACCACAGTTGTCACTGCACTGTATCATAATGGAATGAGTAGGCTAAAGTGAAAAAGTGTTTAAGAAATTAACTACAAACAATAAATATTACAAGTGAAAGAAAAAGTTGCCAGAGTTCATGTACCCTTAAAAGAATAGGAGAAGAAATTATTGCAGTGACTTCGACACATGAAAACAATAAACAGAATACGTGGAAGAACTCTCGAGATAAAAAAATTTAAGATGAGATACACTGAAACTCTGATTTTATGATCCCAGATTTTAGACCTTTCATGAATTTATGCACTTTTAACACGGTTGCGGACAAATGCCTATCACAACTTTAAACTTTAACAAATTTTGTTTTGACAACTTACATTTTCCCTGAATTTTCACTTCATTTTTCTACAAAAATTTTCCCAATTTTATATTTTGTAGCTCAGTTCTCACAATTTCTTATCCAAGACAAAAGACCTCCTTCCTTGTTAGCAGTCACAAATAGTTCAGTCTGAAAATACATAGCAAGTAGCTGATGCATGGCTGCAAGTTATTTGTGTGCACACCACATGACTTCACTATGGTCTTGCAAGCATGAGCAGATTCTTCTGCCACCAAAATCCAAACGACTTGTGTGCACTAGGCCAGCTTTGAACCTGATCATGTTAGCATAACCTTTAACTCAGTGAGTGTACCTTGTCTCTCCCATGTCTGCCAAGTGTACCAAAGAATGACCACTGTATTTTCATAATTGAAACATTTAACAGAAATGCACCCAGGTTAAATTATTTGATTTTCCTGTACCTATATGACTTCACTTCACGAAGACCAAATTTTATTACAGACTAAGACGAATTTCACAGCAAGAGAATGAAATATGGACAATGAAGGAAAACCTAAATCACTTACAGTAAAAAATTTGCTTAGTGGGGGGTTGATTCCAACTGGGTCCGCCTGGCATGGAGGCCACTGATTGGCCTGTTGTAGCCTGCCCCGTGTGATTATGATGGAGAATTTGGTGGAATGAAAATTGGTAGGGGAAACTAAAGTACTCAAAGAAAACCTGCCCCAGTGCCACTTTGTCCACCACAAATCCCACTTGACCAGGCCCAGGATCGAATCTGGGCCACCACGGTGGGAAGCCAGTGACTAACCGCTTGAGCTTTGGTGCGGCCTTATCACTTACAGTAAGTGATGAAATAAATATTTTAGCACAAGTTGATAAACATATTTGAACACATGTTGAACATGCATCACAGTTGAGACTATCAGTGCCCACACTAAACCCCATGGTAAAGAACCGTGAAGAAACTGAAAGGAGTTCCATCCAGAGTGCACCTTTCTCCAAGCAGTGGAAGTCGCTGAAATGTTTGGAACTGGAATCTGCACTTGCTGCATAGTGCAAACCAGCATGCGAGAGTAATGCTTCAATTAATGGCAACCACCTCAAGGAGAAGGGTTTACACATCCTTGCTCGCCCGGAAGTAGCCAACTTCTCGTCTTCCAATGGTTGGATTGGCAGATTTAAGAGGTGACACAACATTGCTTACAGAAATATATCAGGTGAGAGCAGGAGTGTTAATTCAGAAACTGTAGAAGCCTGGGAAAATTGACAACTGTTGCAAGAAATTAATGGATATGGCCTCCGTGACATAAATAATGCTGATGAGGTAGGTCTGTTTTTCAGTCTTCAACCTAGCAAAACCCTCACTTTTCAAGGACACATTTGCCATGGCGGTACAAAATCTAAACAGCAACTTGCTGTGCTCCTCACATGCAATGAAGATGGCAGTGCTAAACTACCACTCTCACTTACTTACTCATGAAGCTGAGCCCTTCTGGAGGAGCCGCCAATTCTGCAGCTACTCAAGAATTTCCCAGAGTTTCATGAAACCCGAAGGTTCATTACTGTGTTCACAAGAGCCCTCCACTTGTCCCTATCCTGAGCCAGATCAATCCAATCCATACCATCCCATCCTAGCTCTCTAAGATCCATTTTAATATTGTCCACCCACCTATGCCTTGGTCTTCCCAGTGGTCTCTTTCTTTCTGACTTTCCCACCAATATCCTATATGCATTCCTAGTCTCCCCATTCGTGCTACATGCCCTGCCCACATCATCCTCCTTGACTTGATCATTCTAATTATACTTGGAGAGGAGTACAAGTTATGAAGGTCCTCAATGTGCAGTTTTCTCCAACCTGTCACTTCATCTCCCTTCGGTCCAAATATTCTCCTCAACACTCTCAATCTATGTTCCTCCCTAAATGTCAGAGACCAAGTTTCACACCCATACAGAACCAAAGGCAAAATTATAGTTTTGTATATTCTAATTTTTATGTTTTTGGACAGCAGATGAGAAGACAAAAGGTTCTGGCCTGAATGGTAGTAAGCATTACCTGAGTTCAATCTAAACTCTGGCAGTTGGAAAATATAGATGTTCATGTTGCTTCAAGAATGTCAAGAAGCTACCTACAAAACATGAAGCTCACACATATTCTTTGATTTTAATATTACCTCACACAACAGTTTAGAAAACTGGTTGCTAAAAATCACAAATTTTTTATCAGTCTTCTGCTCATCCGAAGAACAGTACATTTCATAGCAATATCAAAGTTCTATTTCTTCCAGCTAAATATACCACCCAGCCATAGTCTATATATTTGAGAATCATCCATGCCATTACAGAAAGCAGCTGATTTCGAAGACTGTAGCCACAATAGATGGGGGACTGCTCCAAGATGCTGCACAGATGAAGCTGGATGTGTTGTCTGCAGCGCGTTTAACAGCAGAATCTTGGAGACTGACAACACCTCCTACAATCAAGAACTCCTTTATGAAGTGTAGGTTTTTGACTGATCATGTCAGCAGATCATAGCAGTGCAGTGTGACTCGCTGAAGGTGAAGAGGATGACTGGCAGTCTATAACCCCTTGGAGTGCTGTCTGAGGACTACACAACATGTGACCATGCTCTCAAGGTCTGTGGAGTCTGGAGTGATGACCAGGTGTTTGATCAACATCTAATTAAGCTAGAAGAAGAACCAGAAGGGGAAAAGGAAGTTGCAAAAAATAAAGCAACATTCTTGGATGCACTGAAAGGACTGGAAGCAGCCAGTAAGTATGTATGTCCATTTGATACTAAAAACAACATTACTCTAATGTTCAACAGAGTTGAAAACAAATTATACAGACTGAAACCTCAAGGAGAAAAGAAACAAAAGAAGTGACTGGTTGAAGAAATAGTATGCCTAGATAGGTACAATATCTACCAGTCATTCCAGACAAATGCTGAGGCAGTGCCTTGGAACAGGCCATAACTGAAGAAAGCAGTCTTCTGGGCTTTGGCGCCGTGTATATGTGGTGTTAACCGACGTTTCGGAGGAACGTATCGCCTCCATCTTCAGGGTTGAAGAAAAAGTATAGGTAAATCTGCAAGCGACAACACCGTGAGACACGGTAACGCAGTTTCTTCATAGTCACCGCCGTGAAAGCCTCAAATCTTACACAGGCCATAACTGCTTCCTTCCACATCCTTTCCATTCACCAGTTACATCACCAACTCATCTTACTGCTTTTACCGGTTCTCATGGTCTCTTCGCTTGCAGATTTCTTATATTTTCCTTTCTACTCTGAAGATGGAGGCAATACATTCCTCCGAAACGTCGGTTAACACCACATATACACGGTGCCAAATCCCAGAAGACTGCTTTCTTCATAGTCACTGCCGTGAAAGCCTCAAATCTTACATCTTACTGATGTTAGATAAACACAACAGTTCATAAAGCATTGAAAAATATACCAAGAACCACATTTTCATTTTCATTTACATTGTTAAGAGTTCACTCATGTACATTTTACATGACTCTCCAAAGTTATGGTATAAAGACCACAGTTTTCTTTATATTGCAAAATTTGCATTCTACTGAAATTGCACTTTCCTTGATTTTACACTTGTTTTAGGCACTCCCTTAAGAAGTGTGAAATTGAGGTTTCACTGTAAATACTTTGAGGGTGTCATCCACTCACCTACCATTTTGTGGAAACAATGCCAGAGAAAGAAGATACATGACAAATCTTCACATCCGTACAAAAAAATGGGCATAATTGTCTTATAGGCCTACATAAAATCTATTTATCTCTCTACCCTTCTCCATGTCTCACTCGTCTGATCTGGTTGCCATGTAATCACAATCATATCTTTATAGTACATGAGATGATCCATGGCCACTGCTGCTTTTGTCCAAAGCTTTATGTAGAGTGATAATGCGGTATAAAATTAAACTTCTAGAGGGTTCAGCAATATAGTTCTGTAAGATCAGCAAGGAGCAAGTGGACATATCATGACAAAAAGTGCGTGACTCACCCAAATGTTGACGAAAACCTTTTCAAATGAAGCACCAGTAACTTCGGAAGAGTCTCATAGCGCACACAACGCCGGGCCTCATTGTAGCGTAGACACTGCTCACACCAGTATTTGTTTAGGTCTCGTAAATGCTCACTTGTCACAATTGCTGCTTGATACACTTCACTGACATGCTGAGGAAGGTCCCCTGCAATAGCAATGTCCCTCACTGAACTATGAAGGGTCAAAATTACACTTCTGGTGCACTTTCCGCATTTCAAGAGAAAGGTAAAGCATATTACATCACCAAATCCATATATCAGTTGTGTCTCAACTGGTCAAGAAGTTACCTCCATTTAATGGAACCTGAAGATTCGTTATCGTGCTCACAAGCACCCACCACTAAACAATATCCTGAGCCAGAAGAATCTTAGTTTGCACCCCCACACATTACTCAAGATTCATATGAACATGAATATTACCTTCTTACCTATATCCAGTTGTGTCCCTTGCCTTCAGGTTTTATGCCCAAAATTTTGTGTGGTGTGCTGCATCACGTCGTCGAATAGTGCACCCAATTTTCTTTGAAACAAGAGTGAACAGCCCAGTGTACCAAGACATCATTACACAGTTTATTGTGCTTCTTGAAGTTGATGAACGTAAGTGTTAGTTGCAGCAAGACGGTGCCACATGTCACACATCTAATTAAACCATGCAGTTCTTGGGCAAGTTTTTTGGTGACCACCACATTTCAAAAGGATTGTGGCCCCCACATTCGCCCGATTTGTCACCCGCATATTTTTTTCTTTGGGGGTACCTCAAAGGAATTGTCTATAAAAACAATCCGCATACACTGGATGACCTCAAGAGAAACATTACAAAAGCGATTAACAGCATCAGTTTACAAGTGTTCCACAAAGTGGCCTCAAACATAGTTAAAAGAGCTCGCACAAGCACTGCTGAACAGGGAAGCCATTTCAAGCATACGTGTATGTCGTAAAGATATGATTTGATTTTGCATTTCTAAGATGTAAGGCTATAAACATTAACAGTAAGTGTTGTATGTCTTGCAGTTTGTGCATTAAACCAGCAAAATATATAACTGCTAAATATGATGTGTGTGACTTCTTGATCTCCCTGTACTTAGTGAAGAGATGAAATTATAAGGTTCTTCAGCATGTCCTCATGGAAGTCCCAAACATTTTCATCTTGCAGACATTTAACATGCACCAGTATCACACTGGTGTTCCTCATATGAAAAAGTCATACAGTGGATCTGTCCATTTAATGTTCTCTCAGTTTAAGGCATTCCCTCATTAATGTTCAATTACAATAACCCCCGGTCAATAAACCTCACTGTTAAATTTCCTCTGTTTAAGACCTTCCTGAATTTAGTGTTCAAATCCACTGCTTCCCCGAGGAATTTCATCATAATTGTGCAATTCATGTGCCACCATATTCTGCTGTGAAATTACTGTATTTGATGAGAATAATTCTTTTATTCAGACAGGTCATGTGACCCACAGTGTGGCCTTGCAACCGTGGAGGACGAGATGCTGTTCCATGTAAGTGTGATGACCAATGTCAGCAACTAAACAAATTACCTGTGACCTTGGCAAAGAGTGTCTCAATTTCTTGCAAATTCACTGTTTCTGTATCATGCAATGAAAATATGCTATGGAATGCAACAAAATTTAATAAATAAACAAAGAATAGATTAAAAATTGTACTTATTAGTAATTAATCCCACAAAGGAAATACAACGTTTCCTGGGGAGAATGTTGCACTTTTACGGTTTCATCAAGTAAACAGGGATACGTTCCATGAGACCCGCTTTCATAAATTTTCATGTAAATCATATACCCCAGCTATGAACACAATATTAAAAAGGAGTATTTTTTTTTACTTAACTGTGTATAATATAGATATAAAAGTTCAATTAAATCTTTAAGAAGAGCATTAGCCCTAATATGATGATAAAACACAAATTATTATTTAATACTGAAATTTCAGTACAAATTTTAACAAACACTGATCTGAAAGAGTCAACACTAACACAACAGGCCTATAAGACATCTTTCTTTCATATTACCATTTAAAAACTCTAATCTAGGCTGGAGACATGCAGAAATTACAGTTATACCTTCATCACTGTCCTGCTCTGCTGTCATGATTGGAACACATATGTCGTAGAAGGTCTCCTTTCGCTCCGTTGTGTGTTCACACTCCAAGCATGTTGTGCGCAGGACTGTCACACCTTCAAAGTCATTGGCCACAAAGTTATACCCTACCCCACCTTTCTTCCCTGCACTCTTCTCTGGTTGCTGTGTCTCTGCCTTGCTGTTGGCTGTGATATCTGCAGGACATATTGAGTTTGATGAGGACTGTCCATTCTCTGAGATTCCTTTATTGTGTATAAAGACACAACACATAAAATAAATCCAGTTATTATTCTACAGTAAACTTAGTCCTTTACAGTCCACTCATGAGATGTTTTGTTGCTAGCCTGAAAATACAGTACTAAACAATCACTATGATGATTAAGAAATATCCTACTTTTTGTGGCACCCAGCTCCATTAATGCATTCACAAGAGCCAAGAGCCTGGCACTGGACCTACACCAAGCCAGCTGAATTCAGTCACACCCGCACACTTTATTTCTTTAAGATCCATTTATATATTATCCTAAATCTATGCCTAGAACTCTCAAGTGACCTCCTTCCTATGGGATTTCTGAATAAACTGTTCACATTTCTCATCTCCATGATACTTACACTTCCCAATTCATTCCTTTTGCCTTCATCACATTAATAATTATTAAATTAGACAATATACTGTATTTGCTCATAGCACGAACTGTGGAGCCAGAGAAACAGTTAATGCTAAGTAATGGCCTGTACACACGCAGCAGAGAAACATATCATGTATGCTGTGATGTCACACAACAGAAGAGGAGTTGCAAGCAGCGTTATCTATGGGGCTGTGCAGCGCCTGTTGCTACGCAACCATGCAGTAAACACATCTCTGCAGCAGAGAATGGAGTCGAGTTCCAGAGTTGGCAGGTGACAGAAAAATGGCAAGAAAGGAATTACGCTGTGCAAAAAAAGACTTCACGTGTGATTTGCAGTGACAGGGAGACTGTTATGAATCCACTGCCAGGATATGAGTAGTGAAGACTGAGAAGGCTTAGCATGTCCTAGTGATCTGTAAAGTGTGGAAATAGCGATATGTGATATTATGGTGTCAGAAGTGGTTGGATTGGGCACTGCATTGGATCTTGATTGTTATACTGTCATATTACATAAATGGAAGAAATGACGGAGCGAATACTGGAACACCTGTTGGCTGGCCAGCCAAGAACATATAATGGTCTAAATGAAAGCTGGGAAGGAAAGCAACCAAGGACAAATGATGGCCAAATTAAAGCTGAGATGGAAAGCAACCCAGATTTGATGGCAAGGCTGGAAACAAAGTTCAAAGCCTAGATGGACTCCCATCACAAGAAGTTTGAGGTCCTTTGAAGTACTCTCATCTCCAAGATGGATGCCCACCATACCAAGACAGAAGCTAAACATTAGGAGTTGACGGCCGCAATGTAAGCCAGTCATGTAAGGATCGAAGCCCTGATGGATGTCAGCCAAGAAGCAATGGAGGCCTAGCCAGAAATTATGGATGTGCTCGTAAATCCAGGAGAACTGCAGTCTACAGCAGAGCATGAGGAAGTCCCCTAAGGTAGAGGTCACAGTAAAATCTCTTGGAACATTGAAGCAGCAGCATGAGGATCAGTACCTAGATGTAAGGCGCCACCGTCAGCCTAAGAAGCTGAACCAGGACAATGGTGGGTCCCAGAAGAAACTGGCTGACACCTGCAGAAGGATGACCAGATGTGCAGGTGTGGCATGGCACAAGGGATATGGTCATCACGGGCACAGCCAGGACAATGTGGTACAAGGAACCCAAAAAGGATGGATGTTCAGGAGGCATCGGGTACAGACAGAATGCAACAATGTCATAAGGGACCAAGGCACAATCTGGCAGCTAAGTCTGAGAAAGAGGAAGAACACCAGCAACAACATAGGACACAGCTCAAGACAGTGATTACATCTGGGAAGCAGAACAACACTCAACAAGACTTACAGGGAGACCCTACGGCTGGAGCTCAGATATCAGGTATGAGGCTCTAAGGCTTCATGATTATGGCCTATGACTTTTCGGGGTGAAGTTAGTGGTGGAGGAGGTCCACATAAAGCAAAAGGTAATACACAGAAGTCACATTTACTCTACTAATTCTGGCAAGGGGTAGATAGGACTATAGCAGGTACCAAGTAAGGTCATAACTTCTCACATTTAACTTCTTCTAGTGGACATTGTTAGAAGCAATGTCAGAGCAACAGTTATGAATGGGACTACTCATTGCTATACATTAGCAGGATAGGCAACATATGAAACTAATTTGTTATCTGAAAAAATGCAATTATGAATGATCTTAGCATTGACTGAGGCACCAGAGTACTATTCTTCCCATTCTACTGTTGTGGGCATGCTGATCTGAAATTGAATGGTGCTTAGCCATATTTGTGGGGCTACAGGACAGTTGGGCTGGTATACTGACACAAATAAAAATTAAAACTGTTTCATTTCCCACTTTTTTTTGTGCGATTAAGTTGACTGCATACTTGCCTTATGTCACCAATCACTGAGTGACTCACAAGGGCCATCCTATTTTGTGTGTTATACACTGCTATGTATATAACAGTAGCATATACTGTTTCTGTTCTAACTCAGCCACACATCACACAAATTCCAATAAACAAGTGTACATTTTGTAATTCTAATATTGGCTAGTGACTACATTTTGTGTACTCACAATCCTATCATGAAATCCAAAAGTGAAAAAAATTCAAAATTGTAATTTCCAGCTCTTCTAAACCAGCATTTTTTGGGTGCAGTTGATGAGACTATTACCAGCAGACCCCACTACTGGCAGAAACAGTATTACCTGCAACCAGTGCATGCAATACTCTACTGGCACACTGTGTTGCCATAATCTCATGCAGCATCATGACAGTCTGGCTCTGGAGCTAATATATTACAACAAATAATCTCACAGTATAAGGTACTTGCAACATTTATACTAACTGAAAAAGTAATTGGTTTAGTGTGTCTAGTTGCAAAGCATACAATTCTCACAGTATAGCACCACCTCCTTGTGCAGCTTTCATAGAACCCCAACTAACAGCTACAAGCTACCCTTTACAACAGAAAAAAATATCATGTACAAATCATAACATACTATCATAAAAACTTCCGGAAATCCTATACTAACACACAACGCCTGAGATACAATTTGCCAACAGGAACTAGAGGTTACAGGGATTACTGCATAACTAAAGTTCATTTGAAGACTCAAACACGAAAACTACTCTCACCTGTGACAGACTGATGTGTGCCCAGTCCCCCATTCATCAGATAAGCATGTTCTGGACCAATGCCATTCTGGAGTCCACTGTTAGCAGCATTCTTCTGAGAAGATGAGACTTTCTTCCGTTTCCAAGATTTGCGAACACCCCACTTACTGCTGTTTGATGAGGGTGTCTGGTGGAGACTCACTGCCTTATCCAGGGGATCACACAACAATGCATTATTACTCGCCATGTGCTGCTCAGTGGCCAGCTTGTGCTGCTCAGCCAGGAAGCGACATGTCTCACGGATGGTGTCAAGCAGGCACACCAGCAACTCGTGCGCATCATGCTGCTGATTGCCTTCAAAGATTGGATTCACCTCCCTGCACAGCACATGAAAACCTCAGTTTACTCCATCATCAATTCCATGGAGCAGGGGTGAAAGGAAAATGTTGAACTCAAACAATGTGCAATGTAGTAAACAGGAGTGTAGCCGAAGCTGCACATATTCTCAATCTCAAAATTACAGTGAAGTAAAAAGCAGTCCCCAAGGATGGTGAGCATGATGGCCATTGAGGCTTCACACTGTCTGCCTACTGTAGCAATCCTCCAGTTCCCTTTGACCTATGTCAACCAACTAAAGTGCACGTCACTAGCAAAGATTATAACACTGTTACTTTTACTAAAATTCTTGTGAAAGTAATGGCTATGAAAATGGAGGAAATATCATATTTTCTCACCCAAAATCTGGGGTGTGCAGCTATTTTACAACAAGGTTGGGAACAAACCATGGCCTGCTCATTTCCACTGTTATCTTAACTTTTACAACTTCCTACTTCTTCCATGTTACCATACACAGCCACAGTTTACAGTCTGAAAGTGGATGTTAATCTGTGATGTAACCAAACAGTCTTTCACTGACAGTTAAAAACCAAGAACCAAAGGGACAACAAATCATAAACTGGACTGCTGATAGAAAATATATCAGTTTCTGAAGCAGAAGAAATAGTATGTGAATATGTGGGAACTGGCAGATCCAATGTGTGGTATCAAGTCGTAAAGAATGGAGGTGGTTTCTGCATGAAACAATCTGTGTATCAGAAGAAAAAAAGCATCTCCTGATGGCAGGACATGAGATCCTGGAAAATATAACACTGTAGCAGACATGAATATAGAACATCACACTCAGATTTTAAGACATTATTTATTATGTAAGTAAGTACTAAACATGCAAACTTTAATTTTTTAAAAAATTATATAAACTTGTGTTTTTTATTTCTTAAATACTGGGATGTGGTCTTTATTCACAGACAGAGGATATTCATGAAAATATGGTATGGCTGGAAGGGGAGCCGAGCAGCTTGATCCATGGGACTTTGCTCTATAGCTTCAGTACAGAGAGAAGAGTATGTTCAGATTCATGTTTAGCAAATGGAAAACAACTTCACCTAAGAGCATGGAGGAATATGTCTGGCTGGAAAGGATCACTGTTTTCTTTGATCTCTGCAGCATGCAGTGATTCATAGAGGTCGTGAAGTCGCTCAGTAGCAACCTGTATCCTCGACTTGGACTGCAGGGGGTCACCTGAGTTGGCAATTGATCCACCCAGAGACAGCAGGTCCTTGCTACTCCAGCTCTTGCCACTACTGGTGCTTGTTACATTGCGTCCCAATGATGACGACTTTACCTGCAACATATAAATTGCAGAACCATGATCACCAATGCAGGTGGGTAGGGTTTCTTGTTTTGGATGGATATAATGTTATGTATTAACATAGCCTTATGCATTGTGTCTCATTATTATGTTACAAACCAACAAACAGACAGCCATAAAACTCAATACGAACTTCACTGGTTGTTACCGAAACATCAGTCAAATACAAATTTGTGTCAAAACATATGAGCAAACACTGTGTTTTTGCTGATAAAACTGAACTAAGAAATGTCATTGTCTATGATCAATACTATCAGTGCTATGAGGTGGTATCGGAAAGTTCCCAGACTGTTACTCTTTTAACTGCCTCAGTGAAAGAAGATGAGAGGGATGGCCAAGGTCACATTTCAGAAAGCCTATTGCACCAGTCTGCCACATGACACCGTGCCGTGAACATGCACTGTTTTTACAAGAGTGATTTTTTGACTCCGTGTTTCATTTTTTCTGTAATAAATAGCAAAATTCAGCAATGTGCCTGAATCAAGTTCTGTGTGAAGCACGGTAAACCTGCTACTGAAACCCCCCAAAATGCTTCATGACTCTTTTGGAGAACATTCTTTAAGCCAAACGGTGGCTTTTGAATGGCATTCATGTTTCAAGGCCAGTCGAGTGTCAGATGAAGATGACAAATGTTCAGGATGATCAAGCACCAACAAAATGACAGAAAATGTTAAAACATTTTGAGAATTCATCCATGAAGACCGTTGACCAACATTCCATGATCTCGCAGACACCACTGGGATCAGTTATGGAGTTTGCAGGGAGATCTCCACAGAAAATTTGAACATGCATCAAACTACTCCTTCATCACAACAACACGTCCGCCCACACATCCCCGAAAACCACAGTTTGTGACTAACAACAACATGGTTATCATTCCCCAACCTCCCTACTTGCCAAACTTAGCCCCGTGATATTGCTGTTTCACAAACTGAAAATTAAACTGAAGGGATGACATTTTGAAACAGTGTCTGATATTCAAAGAGAATCACAAGCAGTACTCAAGAGAATTAAGGAAAATAACTTCCATGGTGCTTCTAAAGCATGGAAAAAACAATGGGATCGCTGCATACACTCCCAAAATGACTACTTTGAAGGAGATGGCAGCCAAAACTGAGTATATCAAGCAAGCATTTCTTTTTTGGCCTAGCCTGGGAACTTTCCAATAGAAACTCATATAACAATAATGGTTCTAGAAAATAAGTAGTTCCCAGAATCCTGTATTCACTATCCTGCAGACTGATCACATCTGCCACAAATTCAGGCCAACATATGCTACATCTACAACTAAAACATTCATTTCATAAGTATTGCATAGCAGCACACTCTGGACATAAGTTCAAGATCTATCAGGGAATAAAAAATATTGTAACGTGTCTTGAGTTACTGAAGACGCCGTAGAGATGGTTAATTGGTTTATTTAACAATCTACAAGTAACGGCTACAATTAATTATTACACAGTTGCGGGCTTTCACACTTGATAACCCTAATCGCATTAATCTGTTAACACTGTTCCGGGGTTTCACGATTTATAACCCTATGCGCAAATCAGTTCACTCTGTCTTCAGTAGTCTACACGTTTACAGTAGGGGAGCTAGGTATCACTGTATCACACGCTCCCAATTACACAATCACACACACGTCCGGTTCTTCTTTCCGCGACGGCTGCTATACTCCAACTGTAGTCTGCTCACTGGAGAACTGTTGATGACGCACTCGCTCGTAGGCTTGCTCGAACTATCTTCGGCGATGGCTACGTTACAACTCTGCAGTAGCCACACTAGAACTGAAGTCGCCGACTGCCACAGTAGAACTGACTGGTACCTGCTGTGCAGCTCACTTATATAGCTGCAGTGCTTGCCAGTTGCGTAATGAGTGCGTCAAAGTAGGAAGTTGATTACGGGTACATAGCGTTGCGCGTTACGTCACCGCAGAGGGGAGTGGCGGGGCGGGAACTCGCCTATTACCATAGTAACGCGTTACGTTACCGCCACATACCACTGGGGAGGTAGGGGTGATCCATAGCTCAACATGTCACAATATATTAAAACTCAACAAACTACCACAACGTTCAAACAGTGAAAACATAAATAATAACGGGAACATTCACCTATTCCAGCTCTAACACAAGGCAAACAGCTGAAATAATCTGTAACACAAATATTCAAACTGAATTTTAAGTCAACAAAAAAACAGGAGGTGTACTAGGTCGTGGAATTTTTAAGGGCGGAAAAATTCAGGGAACAAGTCCTCCAGGAGGGACTTTAAGCTGTGGGTCCCCTGTCGTAGCTTTACGGCACGTAAAAGAACCTCATATCTCCTAAGGAGATCACTGAGCCAAATTCAAGAACATTTCCCGCCCAACAGTAGTCTCTAACGCCTCTGATAGATGAGGGAAGCATTGTAGATACCGCCAAGCCAGTAGAGGCCGAACTCGCTGGCTTGGTCGGGACTGATGGTAGGCACCAGTATCAGTAGGGTATAGAGACTGGTAGAATATCATAGAGGGAAGCACAATAGATCAAACTGGTCACGGTGCATGGGGAAACCCACCCTCTCCAATAACTAACTAACTAACTAACTAACTAACTAACCAACTAATTAAGATCAACACATCAGAGAGTCACAAAATAACTGATACTCCTAACATCTACAAGTTGTACTGTAATGACGTGTGTGTATACACTGCTATCCTAAAGTCTGAACAGAAAGACAAGCTATGCCATCAGCTGATCAAAGAGAAATGAATGAAAACCTGTAGAACAGGAAGTAGTTGCTGGTTGAAGGTGAAAAAGTAGAACAGCCTGCAGAATTCTGAAATATAAACAATTTTTTTCTCTACTCCACCACATCCAGACTGCAGCACTCAGAGTTGGCAATAACTGCAAGCTATATTATGGAACCAGAAAATATTTAAACTGCTATCATACATGAAAAGAAGTCCATGAGAAAGTGGCAAATTTAAGGATAATTTCAAACTGATTCGGTGTCCCACAAATCCTTATTACCATGATCTGCAAAGAAACCTAAAAGAAAGACGTGAGGTACGTACTCAATCAATGTCAGTAAGAGAAACAATCCTTTTTAAGACACATATGAATTTCTCCTGAAGCACCTACAGTCAAAAAGCATCAGTGTGTTGGTCCATCTATAAGACTGGCACACTGGGATTAGAAAGCAGAGATGAGCACAGCAGTGTTCAAATCTCTCCCTAACCCATGGAGGCATTGTACTTCTACCAAGAGGAGTAATGAGTTCAACTGCTGGTTACATGGTAGTGACATGGTGACTTCTATCCCAGCCATGTGGCAGTTATAAATGGCAGTGCATTCGTGAATTATAGCAGCAAAGATCAGTCTGAAATTAGTGAGACATTCTTCATACAAGTTCTTCATATGGCATTCAGAAGGAGTTCATTTTGTCAGCTGTTACAATTAACAGTAATTGTAAAGAAGTGCTAATAAATCCAATCATCAAATTCAGAACTCATTATTATTAGTCACGCTAACCCCTACAAGAAACAATCTCAACAGCTACTATACTACTCCCAAACCTGCTGGAATGGAAAACCAAAGTCTCCATCTGTCGAAACACATACTGGAGCTCACGCCTCATAAAATCAGTATTGACTGGTTACGGCTATATATATTCAGAAGACGGTAGCTAAATATATGGGACTTAGTTAGTTAGTTATTGGAGAGAGTGGGTCTCCCCATGCACTGAGACCTGTATTGGTCCATTGTGCTTCCCTCTATGATTTCTACCAGTCTCTATATCCTACCGGTACTGGTGCTTACCATCAGTCCCGCCCAGCCAGCGAGACCGGCTCTACTAGCTGAGAGGTATCTATAATGCTTCCCCCATCTACCAGAGGTATTAGAGACTGCTGTTGAGCGGGAAACATCCGTTAATTTGGCTCAGTGACCTCCTTTGGAGATATGAGGTTCTTTTACGTGCCGTAAAGCTACGACACGGGACCCACGGCTTAAAGTCCCTCCCGGAGGACTTGTTCCCTGAATTTTTCCGCCCTTAAAAATTCGACGACCTCCGCTGGGTATCTGAACCCGCGTACTACAAGTCATGAGGTGGGAACGTTACCTCTAGACTACGGAGGCCGCTAAATATATGAGACTTACTTTCACTTGCTGCTGTTTCGAAGTCAGGTCACCCAAGTCAGCTGCCAGATGATGCAAATTGTGCAGGAAAGCCGGGGCAAATCGCAAGGTGTAGATAACACTATTCAAGAAACATGTGTTGCCAAGGTTACAGAGAGTTGCTACAGGAGAGCAGCCAACCCCTGTGTCACTGCCTGGACTCTCATCTGTAGAACTCTTGTTGTGACCATCTCCTGGCAAGTATCCGTTGAGCATGGCCGTACCTGTGACAACCATTCAACATACACCAAAAGTAAGGAGTCTATGGTGATAAGGACATTCCTCCATCACGTAGTTTATAAATCCCATGAAATTGCATTTATAAACTACACAACAACATAATGAAAAATAACTAATGCAACATCCCCCTTCAGCATACCAACATGTCTGCTAAAGATTGCATGCTACCTAACACAACTTCTAGCTTGAAATTTTAAATATCAATTTTTATGGTTATGTTTTATGTCATTTTATGTCATATATCATTTAAGACTGTATTCATTTCTTATCACTTTTACCTTTTTAAATATTGTGAATATATTAACAAGATATATTTGCTACAACACAGCAATCTGTTAACAAATATGGATCCGTATTGTACCCAGTGTGTTTAATTACTTGATATGTTCATTTAATGCCTGATGATGACCAAATTGTGGTTGTAATAGCATAGCTATATTTGTAATAAGTATGTAAAATGTACATTAACATCTACTATCTCCATTGAAGAATTTCCATACCACTCGCTGTGTTGTGTTGATGGTTATAATACAAATAAAAATCAAATATTATGTACATAACAGGATGCTGTCTATAAAGATTACCACACTTTTTGCATAGAGTAAAATATAAGGAAAGTCAATTACAATTTATTTTCTGTCATACACAGACAAACAATTCTCGGCAATTTAAATTATTTTGTATCCCTTTCTTCAAAATTTTTAATTTCTTATTAACTATGAGTGATAACATATCTCTAAATTTAATACCACATAAAACCAAGCTGGTTGGTGTAGTAGTAATGCTCTAGGCTTGTATTTGGGAGGTGCTCTGTTCAATCCTCAGTCAGGACACCATATGAGATCCTGAGATTTATCGTGGTTTCCCTCAGTCTCTCCAGGTAAATTCTGGGACAGTACTTCCATTTGGTCACAACAACTTTCCATCTTATTTCTTTGCAAGTCATCATTGATCAGCCATCCTATTATTCAATGGTATACATCTGCACACTCACAGTATCATAAAGTAAATCACAGAAAATAAAACACAAAAGTGCTGATCAACAATTAGATTTGTAGACTTTATTTATACTGTATAACATGAAACAGACATGGTACAGGTCTTCAAGAAAAGCCAGTTCTATTTTACCAGTCTGCATATCAGAAAAGGTTCAGAACCACTGATGTACATTAGGTTGCATAAAGAACTGGAGAATTCTACACTGCTAGACACACTATCTGTGAACAGGAATATGCAGTACAAAATGATTGATAAGTTGGTTATGCAACACCCAATATTCTGTGATTCTGTTGCTAAGCACCTACTACAAGAATTATTGCAATTTTTCATTTTATTGTTTTATTAATGCTTATTTCTAGACATCCTTCAGAAAGTTTGATGAGCTAAGCTCTAAAAGCAAAATTCACTTTTAATTACATCCACATGTACAACCTCCCTTTGCAAATGACCAGAGGGCCACTGATAGCTTCTAGCGAAGAATTCAATTGAAAATTATTTATCTGCAAGCAGAACAAAGTTTTACTGCGCTCTCTAGCACTCCCCATTTCTAACACCACATAAAATGAAAAGGCAGGCCACATAATATCAGCATTCTAGAAAAATGTAAATGAAACAATGGCCTTATAAGAAAGAAAGGCAAGGCAAGAGAGGCCCCTCCTAGTGTGTAACTGATTTCCACACACACCAAACAACTGAGAGGGAATGACTGCCTGGCTGTCACATTCTCCTGACCTGAATCCACTTGATCTTTCTTATAGGAATGCACTATAGAAAACAATTACAGCACAGAAGTATAAGACTGTAACAAACCAACCAACTGTATCCCAATGGCTGTAACAGGGACCACCCCAGAAAAATGGCTCATGACAGGGTCTCCACTCAGTGTCGCCAGGAAGCATGCAGGCAAGCTGGAGGAGGCACTTTGAACAGCTCTTGCAAATTGCTGTACAGAACTGTGTGCAAGTCCCCATTATAAAATCAGTCATTTAGGTTAACTGTAATATAAATATCAAATTGAAAGAGGTAACTTTGAATTACTTGATTTCATTCATTATGATTAAAAGTAGTAAAGATGTTCAGTGCAACCAAATATGAATGGACAATTACTTCATCCCCTTAAAAAGCGGTAAGATGTCAGAACTCAACGAGTGTGACAACCAAACAACTTATTTACAATTTTCTTGTCCAAATTATTTCCCCAACAGTCTCCTAAAGTAGGGCCACAGGACTTTGAATTATCCTATACAGCTACATAGGAATGTATACATTTAACCACTTACAGGCTGCACTGCACTGCTATGAGCATCTATACATATACCTATACATTATAATATCTGACAACAAGCTTAAATGAAGAAAGCAGTCTTCTGGGATTTGGCACCGTGTATATGTGGTGTTAACCGACGTTTCGGAGGAACGTATCGCCCCCATCTTCAGGGTAGAAGAAAAAGTATAAGAAATCTGCAAGCGACAACACCGTGAGAAACGGTAAAGCAGACTGTGCAGACAGATTTCTTATACTTTTCTTCTACCCTGAAGATGGGGGCGATACGTTCCTCCGAAACGTCAGTTAACACCACATATACACGGTGCCAAATCCCAGAAGACTGCTTTCTTCATAGTCACCGCCGTGAAAGCCTCAAATCTTACAAGCTTAAATGATTCTACTGCTTTAACACTAAAGTCTACCATTATCCTTGTCATGAGTAACCTCAGAGCGATTTTATGTTCTCCTAAGATTCATTTGAATGTTAATATCCATTCTATATCCCTGGTTCCTTTCATCTGATACAATACATTCCCCTACATACCTTGTTTTACGAGCCCAATAATAACTCATGCATTATGGAATAAAGTCCAAACTTACACCATACAAAAATATAACTATTCACTTGGTTAGAAGCTCCACACATACTGGAAATTATCTGACATCAAACTGGGCTCCTCATAAAACATTTGAAATTACATGAAGGTTTCCCATCATTTAGGAACGTGATCCCATTTGATTCAACCCTGCCTGCCATTTACTGAAATTCCCACTGCCAAGAGAAACAAGTGGCAAGTACATTTTCATTATCAGTCTAAATGTGTGAAAAATTTGATAACCAACTAACTTCAGGGAACAGAATCTTTCTTGAGAAGCTACTGGTCTCTCAGCTGCTCAAGAAATTCCCTGACTCTTACTGCACCTTCATACCAGCCCACCATTGGTTTCTATCCTGTGTAAAAACTGAATATACAAATGATTTCTTTTCATGTGCAAGCACAGAAAACAAATTAAAGCATAACCACTTGTCCATGATTTATTAAAAATCTATTATCTATTACGATAAATCAGTGCAACAGGACGCTAAAATATAACATAACCACTTGTGTTGCCTCATCTAAACTTTTAACTCCAAGTTTTACATAACTTATACAAACTTATAAAAATACCCATGAGAACATGACGAATTGGATGCCACATCATTTCTGACTTCAGAAGTCCTTCAACAAACACAAATGGCCATAACCTACTGTGCAAATGAAATACGCTTTTACCCAGTCTCTCTAGTTTGCATGAATGTGATACAAAACAACTTCTCCTCAATTTAAAAGTATCAACTTAATACATAACAGTTTCACATTAAAGTAAGTTTACAAGATAATAGCGTAACGTGTTATGTCCGCAACAACGAATACTTGGAAACTGTTGAGTTCCCACGGCAACAAATGAACAACAGACCGTTGCATAGGAAAAAACTCTAGCAATGAACTGTCGCTTAGTAACAAAGGATGAAATGAAACACATTACCGGTGGATTCTATAAGGAGCGTTCCCGAAGCAACAGATTGCTGAACATGTGAAATAGAACCTTGGCAAGAGGTGTTCTCTACTTAGCCTGCGTGCGGCCTATATAAAGGGTCCAGCCTCGAACGGAAGTTCAGTGCTGAGCCAGAAGTCAGTCTTAAGAGAGTCGCCATCGAAAGCAGTTGAAGTCTAGTATTCACTTAGATATAGGGGAAGCAGTAATTGTGATACTGCAAGTGATAATAATTGTAAAGTGTGTGAGTGTAGAAATGAAGCACAATAAATATTTGCTACATCCTTGACGGCGTGAAGTTATTTGTCGTGTGACATACCCAACAGGTTAAAATAGTAATTTAAATAGGTATTCTGTTCCAGTAATTAGCACATCCTCATTCACCTCATTCAAAACAAAACTTTCGTTTGTAACACAATACTGCAAATGCATTGTGTGTATCTGTACCTATAAAGTATGACGAATCGATACAATTACACAGAAAAATTCTTTAATTCGGAATTTTCACCTGGATGAATAAACTGAGGTGGCCAAGGCATGACACCAAGAATGTGTCATGAAACACATTTAGGCATAAAAATTATTTTGCGAAACTGAAAGAGTCAACGTGGAAAGCAGACATTGATACAGAACAGATCAATGTTAAAATGTATGTTATGGAAACAGGCTGAGAAGTTTTAAACTGGACTGAAATGTCTTAAGTACAATATATAGGATACAATGTCAAGATTTTGTGGCAAAGATGCTGAAACTGCTAACCCCAGCAAAGTATCAACAATCTGGTTTCATGACAGATTTACTTACAAGTCCCTTCATAAAACTAACTAGTAAATCTGCATTTTGTGCAGTCAAGATTTTACACTCTGCATAGAACTTAACAGAAATTTTAAATTACTGGGTTATCATTTTATAAAACTCCAGGGACCTTCTTCTAACAGCAATAGCACCAATCGCACCTCTGACGTCTGCTTGACAGTCATGTTGATATTATTTGTGGTGAGAAATTAAGATCTCCAATGGCATGACTCTATTATTAAAGTTCCTTAAAATCAGCAAGAGTTTAAAAGCAATTAGTTGGGACAAGCACTTCCACAGAAATAATCATAAACCTCTTTCTTAATAACACACAACCAAATCTGCTTGTCAATATGCTGGTTATACCGAACTGTAATAACAACAATG